CAAAACAAAAAAAATTAGGGAGAAAAGTAGCATTTTGTTCCATTTTTGCAAAATTCTTTAATGTGTGGCTTAGTAGAAGGCAGCTGGATTCTCATATCTGCTTCTGCATTCAATCTGTTGTGAAATCACACACTACGTAGCCTGTGGAAAATTCCTCTGTACAATCATAGGAGCATGAAAGCAGAAAAAGCAAATAATGTCTTAGCATTATTATAAAAAGAGTGTATACGTCAGAAATCCACACTTCAAGAACTGCTGAATTAAAGCGGTATTACAAACTCTCTTAATTTTGCGGACGGCAGACTCTAAACAAGAGAATGCTGGAGTTAGCACTTCATGGCTGTGGGACTGTGACTAATACATGCAGACACCTGAGGCGCCATCGCTGGTGTCAGTATGCAAGTATGCAATGGGAGTGACAGGATGAATAAGTGGAACAGTTGTTCAAGAGAATGGAAAAGCCTGGATGATACACTAGAGAGCAAGGACAAGTTTGCTCTTGTGGTAAGATTATTTCACTGTTCGCCAATGTCTGCTTCCCCTCTCTGCAGGAGGACTAATCTTCTCTTCCCTTTGATATTAAATGTAGTGATGTGTGGAACTTCCAGGAAGAAGCTCTAAGAGCCACTTTGCTCTTTGCCACACTCTTTTCCTTCTCGGTAACCACCAGTGTTCTATGTGGATATTGACTGCCCCATCAGCCTGGGACCCAGAGTGAGGACAACACTGATGGGAAACAAAGTCCCCAGCTAACCCTTGCTGGACATGAAGAACAAGTGAGAAATAAACATTCATGGCTTTCAGACATTGAGATGTTGGGGTTGTTTGTTATAACAGCACAATTTAGCCCATCTTGACTGACACAGCCACCTCACTAGAAAGGCAAGTCAAGGATCCAAATCCACCATTTAATGCATGTTTACTGGGAGCCTACTGTGCATTAAACACCACACTAGGTTCTATGATTACAAATAATTTAGATTTGGCACCAGCCCTCAAAGGGCTTATAGTGCAGAAGGCATATAAACAGATAAACTATATCACTGTGTTGTAATTGCCACCATTAAAAAAAGAGTACTATGGAAGAGAGAAGTTCCTGAATCCTGTATCAGTCAAGGAATGAGCAAGAAATAATGGCATACTCAGCTGGGATTTTTGAAGGTACATTTACTGAAGGGACCATTTTTGAGATTTAGGTAGAGTTTAAAGGGCCAATAGGAATATTGTGGCATCCAGTGACCAGCAACAGAGGAAAGAAAATCCTGCCTCACTCTGAAGGGACAATGGTTAGAGATGGTGTTACTGGACCCAGTGAGAGCTGCAATCATGACAGAAGGGCCATATAACACCAACTACAGTTGTAGAAGGTACAGGCATTGCCAGAACCAGAGCAAAACAGGGAGGGGTCAGAAGGAATAAATACTCCCACCGTTCTCCGATCTCCTGTCCCACCTCCAATTGCTGAGATCCACCTGGACACCACAGGGAAGGGCAGGTGCCATCAATATGGGTGGTGCTGTCAATATGCAGAGGTCAACCTCCTGGTCCTCAGAGCACAGTGGAGAGGGATCTGGAGGAGGAAATGAAGGGTTTCCTGAACAAGGTCTAAAAAAAAAAGAAAAATGATAGGAATAGTTGAAACAGTATGTTCTAAACCTTCTATTTCATTGCTTAATCTAAATCCCTAAATTTGCAAAGAGAGCCCACAGATACCGATAGAGTAGGGAATGGGTATACATGACTATTCATCCAGAGGGCTAGATACTTGAGACTCCTATTAAAAGAGAGAGACAATGGATATATGGCCAGAAATCCCATCCTGAATCTTGTTTGGAGGTTGGGAGATGGAAAATGGGTGATAGATAGGGAATAAGGAGGAAAATATCTTCCAGTCAGCCAGAGATTAAATCATTAGAGGTAAATTGTAAGATGAAAATTGAATCATATCTTTCTCACCTCGCCTCAAAAGTCATGCAGTATCACTTTCACCCTACTGTATTGATTACAAGCAAGTTACAACCCTGCCCAGATGAAAGGGGGGGAAATTAATTCCACCTCTTGATGGAGAAAGCAGGGTTCTACACCATTGAACAATACAGTAACCAGTAGCCACACATGGGTTTTTACACATAAATTAATTAAAATTTAATAAAATTAAAAATTCAGTTCCTCAGTCACACTAGCCACATTTCAAGTGCTCAATAGCCACATGAGGACTTAGAATATTTCCATCACTGCAGGAGGTTCTATTGGACAGCACTGCTCTCTAAGAACTTGTGAGACAGGAGAAGGTGTGGACTGATAGAATTGTGTCCCGCAAGGTTCCTACATTAGAAGTTTAATTCCCACTGTAACTGTTGAGGGTGAAAAATCGTATTATGGTAATTGAAAGGTGGGGCCTTGAAGAGATGATTAGATTGTAGGACCATGCCATAATGAATGGATTAATAATGGTGGTCAGGGGCATGGTTCTGAGAGCTTTAAAAGGAGAGTACGTGAGTTTCTCTCTCTCTGCTCTGCCATTTTCTGCCATGTGAGACCCCTCTGCATTGCTGTAAAGCCACCACCAAAAAAAAACCCTCACCAGATATGTTCCCTGGACTTTGGACTTCCCCATCTCTGAACTGTAAGCAATCAATTTCATTTTTCTTTATAAATCACCCAGTTCTGTGTATTTTGTTATAAGCAACAGAAACGGACTAATACAAGAGATATTGCTGGATCCATCTTGCAAAAATACAGTCTGCCACTGGGACTAAGATAAATAGAATTCTATTCAGAAAGATGGACGAAAAGGGTGCCCTGACTCACATGATGTTGTATACAAGGGTTGGCAATACTGCTGCTGTAAATTAGGAATAAGAGAGCACTTGGGTTAAGGATCTCAAATGAAAGAGAGGGTATATACATAGTCCCAGGAACTAAAAATAAGGCCAACAGAACGGTATCACAAAGGGTGATTTCTAGACCAATAGGCTTCATCCTTCTTGGGTCATGGGCCTCTTAGAGCATGTGATAGAAGACACCTGTCCCCAGAAAAAAATGTACACATACAGTGCCATGCATCCAATTTCAGATTCTATGGATCTCCCCAAATCCATCCATGGATTCCCCAAATCAGAGCCCTACTCTAGCCTGTAAGCTCTTGATGACATTTCCTTATCCCCTGCTATTAGCAGAGTACCTGGCCCTGCTGGCACTTAATCTCTACATGTTTAAAGAATCACCTTTTTTCTTCAATGCAAGTAAGAATTTTAATATGCAGGGAGACATTGAAGTAGAACAGTCATCATCCGGGAACCAGCACGTTTCCCAGCACTAGAGGTGTTCAAGCAGATTTGTGATAATTTACAGAGGATTTCGGGCTTCATGCTAAACTGAGTAAGCTTTAAGGTTTTGCCCAGCATCGGAGTTCCAAGGTTGCATAAAGAGTGACAGTAAGGCCCAAGCAGAGGAAAAATCACATACAATTTGTATGAAGCAGGTGGAATCTAGAGAGGCTTCTTGCAACTGGTGGCAGTGTTACATTGGATGGCTTCTTCCCTGAGGTTAAGTTCTCTGGAAGGCTCTTTAGACCTCATACCTGCAAAAAAAAAGGGGGGGGGATTTTGTCCTCTTTACCCTCCATACCCCGTTTCCTTGACAAATCCAGACATATCCAATTGTAGCAATGGACAGAACTTGAACAGTCCTCAGTGGGTCCTAAGGCCCCCTACAAATAAGCTTCTGTCTGTCCTGTCTCACCAGTTTTAAACATTCCCAGACAAATCTTCGTATTCCACAATGTATTACCTGAACTTTGAGTAAAATCAAAAGTTGCCTTGAGTCTAAGACTAAAACATCTCAGCTTTTCTCACAGTCTCACTGCATTCGTAGAAGTCAGTTAAATTCAGTCATTCTCTCCTACCCCACTAGTCTGTCAATTCTTCAAGACCAGGAACTATATTCCCACTTCCTAACATAAACTTGGCAGCCAGTATGTTCTGGTCAGTGTTTGATTCTTGCAAGTCCACAGTGATAGAGTTTTGATACAATGAATAGACTGGTTTGAGCATAATGATTATTAACATATATGTTTATTATTGAATGTGCATTACCAACCACAGTTTTAGAAGACTACAGCTCTCTGTTTTTCATAGACAGAAAAAGGCACACCCATACCGTTCCCCATGCATACTGAATAGTGGCTGTATAATTTGGAAATCAATATTGTTCTGGTTTTGTAACTAGTTTTGCCACCTATCAGCGGTGTGACATTTAGCCTCTCTAAAACACAATTTCCTCGGTAGCAAAATAGACGTTCTATTTATTCTAAGATTGCTGTAAGTATTAAATGAGGCTTAGCATGGTGCTTGGTGTGTAGGAAGCCTTCCAAAATGATAACCACTCATTCTGTGACTTCCTCCCATATAAGTCTTTTTGAACAAGGAAACCAAGGTTGTCAATGTCCTTTTGAGGCACAACTGGAGAAATGTATTTTGAAAGAGGGAGTTGACCATGCTACAACCAGGGTCTGGACTAGGGTGAAATAAATGGGTGAGTTGTACAAGTGCAGGGTCAATCTTGTTTTTATTTAAAATGTTGATTGATACTTCATGGATTTTTTAGCATTGATCATGATTTTTTGAAATATTGCATTAAACTATTACTTATCTTGATAACCGAGTTTTCTTGGCACCCCTTAAATTTTGCAGCCAAGGCAATGCCTTGTTCGCCTGCCCCTAGTCCTACCCTACCAACAATTCTTTATACCAGCAGTCACACCACTATCTAAGTCCATAACCAGAACAGTTAAGAGAAGCGCCTCTTACCCCGCCAAGGAAAGGAGCAGTGGAAGTGGACTACAACTCCCAGAAGGCCGCGCGCGCGGCGTTCTCGCCGATTGGCTAGGCGGATTCCGCCCCCTCCTCGCCCCCGCCTGACGACCCGGCAGCGAGTCCCGGGCCAGGGCAGTGCTGAAGCCGGCCATCCTGGCGATACTCTGCCGCGCGAGCAGGCTCCATGGCGGCGCGGCCTCTGGCCCGGATGCTGCGGTGGCTCTGGAGGTCCAGCGCCCGGAGCTGCAGCTCGGGGGCTCCAGTGACGCAACCCCGCCCCGGGGAGCCCTCGCAACCTGCCGCGGAGGTGAGCCCTCCCCGCCCGCCCGCGTTCCACCTTCCCCGGGAGGGGCGGCCCGGCATGCTGCCCCTTACCCCGAGAAGTGCTCCGGCCCGTCCAAGAGGCCGCTTCTGGGAGGCATCCCGCGGCGCTCACTAGGGGGTGGAGTGATGTCCTCCAGACGGACCGCTCAGTGTCACCCGCTAGCCTAGCCGGAGGGACTCGGAGGAGGAGTCTCGCTTCAAAACCTTCCTGCCCCTACCCCCACCACCGGCCTTGCCACCTTCTTCTAGATTGGAGCGTTGGCCAGAAATGGGGCAACCAGCAGGCTGGGACTTTGGGTTCAGCGAGGTGTCTTATTTTGACCCTTCAGCCCTGCCTCATACCCATCCTCTTCCTTACACATTTCCCTCCCTGTCCCCTGAGTAGAGGGCGTCTGTGATCAGGTGTCCCTGTGACACCTGCTTTATAATGTGACACTGACGAAAAATGTCACCGCACTGCCAACAGTCAGTTGTCACTTCGTAGTCACAGGGCTCTGTGTCTCGTCTTGTCCTTCACTGACTCTCTTTTTGTTTCATTTTTATTTCCCTTGGGAGGGTTCAGTCTCATTCTAGAGCAGAGCAGAACAGGACCTGATTATCCTTTAATTCTACTTTTCCATGAACTTTTTGAAGTACCCTTGTATGTGTAACCCATCCACAAAATTTGGCAGGAGCAGGGGTGGGGACATCTGGAACCCCTGCCCCCATCTTCCCTTTCTGCAGGGAACAACACCCCCCACAGGGCTCTGGTGGTTTGGTTCGGGAGAACCAGCATAGAAAGCCACTGGGCATTGTGTGTCAGGGCACGGGTGTGAAAGATACAAGTGAGGTGAAGTGGGAGGTGGCTGTGAGGACAGTAGAAAGGGGGCTTTGGGCTGGGTCCAAGGACAGGTCAAGCAGCTTCTACAGGTGGAAATCCGAACCCGGGGCCTTGGTGTTATCAGCACCACACTCTCCCGAGTGAGCCACAGGCCGGCCCGACCTGGCCTCTTCTTGATGAGGGATTCCTGCAACTCTTTAGGGTTTGTGGTAGGGTCCCTCAGTCCCTGACAGTACCCCTCAGAGTGTTTCATGACATAAGTTTTAAGTTTGTTGTTCTTTTGCTGATGTAGTTAGGGAATAATTTGGGGGACAAGCATCTCTTTTCATTTGGTGAAACCTCTTTTCTAGACCTATGTAATAATTCTTTTCCCATCTCCCAGAACCAGACTTCATGTCATGGGACACATCACAAGATCGCTGCTTCCCCATCCCTCATCCTGCTCAATGACGGGGAGGGCTTTCACCTAACTTGCTATCCCCGAATCTGTGCCCTTCCGGGATCCTCAGCTAAGCAGGCCCATTGTTTGGGAAGTGGAGAATTTATCAGTTCCTTGAACTTTGAACTTCATTAAGGAAAAGGTGGGAAAGCAAAGATGGCTGAGAGACCTTTAAAGAATTCATGAAAAGGGAAGTTTTTTCATCCCCTCCCCTCAGTTTATTTTGTACCTTTCATGAGAGGACCTGTTCTAAGTGACTTCATATCTGGTTTCATTTAGTCCTCACAGTAACCCATGTGCGGTGAGTAGAGTCTGTATTTTCAGTTGAGGTAACTGACCAGAGTTAACCTCCCTCAAGTCACAGAGCTGTAAAGCAGGGAGCAGGAACTCAAACTCTAAGGCCTGTGCTCTATGCCTCCCCGCTGTGGGGAGGCCTGGGAGAGAGGCCGCCCCTACCCTTCCCTGACACTGCACATTAGCAGGTGAGAACATGGACTCTGGAGCAAAATGCCCAGGTTTGAATCCCAGCCTCTGGGTCTTCAGTAAGACCCTTCACCTCTCCGCCTAAGTTTTCTCATCTGTAAAGTGGGAGTATTATCTACTTCATAGGGTGTTATACGGATTAAAAGAGTAAATGTATATGTCTGGCACATGTAAGTGCTGTGTTATGTAAATGTTTGTGGTAATTATTATTATCCTTGCCAAAGTTAGCTCATGTTGTGTCCTGTTAGTCCCCTTCCACCTGAACATGCAGGATAGCCATTCTGTCAACTGTTTGATCACAGACATTCCATTCTGGATGTCTGCGGTAAGGCTGTACTCAGCAGACTGGGTGCTTCCAAGGGCTAGGTTCTCCTCTGCTTTTCTAGGTATTGCTCCACGGTGCCTAACACAGGGCTGTGTAGGCAGGAGGGTCAGCCCAACTAATGAAGAGTCATGTGGCATATAGACAGAGCACCAGTCAGGGAGTCCCGCATTTTTACCGAACCCACCAACAATTTCACCTAGTTCCTGGGGCTGTCACTTCCCCTCGATTCATGTCTATAAAACCAGAGGGTTGGACTAGCCTATTTTTATGCAGTGGGCAAGGGCACAAAATCTGTCTGTTAAGAGAATCTCAGAGATGAGGGGTCTTCAAAAAGTTTGTGGAGAGATTTGTATTATCCTTTAATTCTACTTTTCCATGAACTTTTTGAAGTACCCTTGTATGTGTAACCCATCCACAAAATTTGGCAGGAGCAGGGGTGGGGACATCTGGAACCCCTGCCCCCATCTTCCCTTTCTGCAGGGAACAACACCCCCCACAGGGCTCTGGTGGTTTGGTTCGGGAGAACCAGCATAGAAAGCCACTGGGCATTGTGTGTCAGGGCACGGGTGTGAAAGATACAAGTGAGGTGAAGTGGGAGGTGGCTGTGAGGACAGTAGAAAGGGGGCTTTGGGCTGGGTCCAAGGACAGGTCAAGCAGCTTCTACAGGTGGAAAGGGGATGCAGTGATGTGTGGATCAGAGGGGAGGAGGCGAGGGGAGACACAGCAACTTGCCATCTGGTTTGGGCAAGTGGCCCAGACAGTCTCTTCTGCAGAGTTTAGCCCAGCTGGGGCACACCACACCCATCTTTCTCCCTTGAGGCCTCCATGTTGGGGCAACAGTGGGCTGGCCTGAGTCCCTTGCTGCCTGTGGCAGGGGCAGGGAAAGGGTGTCTCTGGACAAGGCATAGGTGCCAAGGGAGCCAGAAAGAACAGATGCTGGCAAGGGGGTTATGTAGGAAGTAAGTGAGTGTGGGAGAAGGGAGGAGGAGGGCAGCAGGGCCTGGCGTGGGGGTGAGGGAAAGGGGAGAAAGGAGACTTTTCAGGACTGGCAAGGGGGTTATGTAGGAAGTAAGTGAGTGTGGGAGAAGGGAGGAGGAGGGCAGCAGGACCTGGCGTGGGGGTGAGGGAAAGGGGAGAAAGGAGACTTTTCAGGAGCTCATCATCTTAATTTCCAATCTGCCCGCTCCTCAGAATCCATCTGTCACTGAAGTGTGACTATCCTTACCAGGAGCCATAGGTGTAAAGACCTCACACTTAAGGTGGGAATGGAGGGAGAGGGAAGAAGAGCCAGACATTAGGCTAGGCGTTTTGCTGAGTCCTCTCATTTCTCTCTTAATTTTGAGGGTTCTCCAGTATACATTAGACCTCACACTTAAGGTGGGAATGGAGGGAGAGGGAAGAAGAGCCAGACATTAGGCTAGGCATTTTGCTGAGTCCTCTCATTTCTCTCTTAATTTTGAGGGTTCTCCAGTATACATTATCCCAGTAGCAGATAAATTGGGGCCACTGACATTTGAATTTAGAATGTGCTGTTTTTCTTCTGAATAACCTTGCTACTCTGTCTACACTCTAGAGCTATTAGGTGGCTGGCCCTTACCATTCAAATCAATTGCCCAAGGCTAATGACGGTCTTCTAAGGAAAGGCACTTTGAGGGCAGGGCACCTCCCTTAACTCACTCCTTTGTACCATCCCTCCCCACCCTCACCACACCACACCACACCATCTGCATTGGGTAGACAAGAGATAACCAGTAGCATGTGGCAGGCTCCCTAGTGCCTGATTACTAGCACTCATACCAATTTGGGTCCTGGGGAAGCTTAAACCCCACTGCTTTGAGTGGTGTATAGCAGGTCTGAAACCCCAGCGTCAGACCATCTGCCATTAGCAGGGTTGGAAGGCCAGGGTCTCAGAGGGCTGGGCAGTCGACACAGACACACAGTGGTGCTCCTCCATGAATGAGTCTAGATAAGTCACTCAAAAGTTCTCAAAAGTGAAATCTGGCCAGCCCTTCCCCTGACCAGAACCCAGTGCATGGTTGCCTTTCTGATTGCTTCATTACACCGCTTGCTCTGAGTTTCCGCTGAGTCATAATCTGTAGTCCTCTCACTTACTCCCCAGTCCTTGGTTTATTTTGGGTCCTCCCTCACCCGGCCACACCCTCCAGTGTTTCAAGTTTACAGTAAGGGGGCATCTTGGCAAGCAAAGGAAGAGGTGGAGTGTGGGATGCCTAACAAATGACTGAATTGCAAGTGGCTGTTGATAGAAACGAGGATGCAGCTCAGCCATAAATCCAGATTCCAGGGTATCTCATCTCCTGGACTCTGATGGTCAGTGAGTTTCTTGATTATGGAGTGTCCCCTGCTGTACCACCAGGGCCACCTGTGCGGGGAGGAAGTGATTGTTAGGATTACAACAGACTGCAGTTCCGAGAAGTGACTGCTGCCAACTCCCCATGGTGCCACCAGCAGGGTTTCTCAGAGGAGGTTGGGAACTGCTCTTGGTGTAGGAGAGTGAGGAAAGTTTTATGGACCCAGGAAAATCATGGAAGCTCCCCCCCACACACACCCCTGTGTGCATCCCCCCTTGGCTGCACATTAGAATCACCTGGAGAGATTGAAAAAACAACAGCCCAGAGATGCGGATTCAGTTAGTCTCCAGTGGAATTTTTTCTTAAGCTCCCCAGATGGTGCTCATGTGGCTGAGGAACTTCACAAGGTGAATGTTTCTTGCTCCTGGGTGTAAGTGTACGGTTACGCTAGGCCTTTTGAGGGCCTTAGGCCTTTGCTCTCTCAGATTACAAGATCATGATAATCCTAGGTGTTCACCCACCAGCATCTCACCCCCCACCCCATACCCCGTCTTTACCCCTAGCAATGTAACCTTAGCCCATGGCTGCATTCTTATTTTACAACTGGAAAAACAGGCCTGGAGAAGTTAAGCACTCTAAGTCACAGCTGGCTCAGAAACCAGGGGCTGTTGCCCCCAGCCCAAAGCCTGTCTGTAGGCCCCATGGATGACTGCCAAGGTCACAGTGTCTTCGTCCTAAAGATTCTAGAGAAGTGACTTCTCCCTACCCTACTCATTATCCTACCTACCTTCTTAGACTCTCCCTGTGTAATTAGAGGAAAGAATTTAGAACTTGGAATCCAAAGACCTGGATTTGAATCCTGGTTTTGTCAAAGGTGTACTTGGAGGCCATCTGAGCCTTAGTTATAATAATCCCTTATGATGTGGTTATAGGAATTAATCAGAGGACATTCTTTGGAAACTGTTTGGTAAATATTAGTTCCATGGAGCATTTATCTCATCAGCATCTGTCAGGACCCAGGGTTGTGTTCTTAAGGGAGAGACAGGTTAGGGGTTGACAGATAGACTAGATCACATATGAGAGTGAGGTTGGCTCCCTCTGTTCTCCCAAGTTTGGGCCTAGCCTGAAGCAGTCTCCTCCTCAGACAATGGGTGCATAATCCTTCCTTCTGGCCCTGGGTAGGGTGAAGAATAATGACTGAATAAAGAGATCTAGCCTGCCCTTCCCTCTAACTTGCTGCCCAACTAAGTGCTTAGGGGGTGGATCCTTCCCTTCAGGCTGGTTTCCCAATCTGTAAGTGAGAAGACCAATCCCAGGTCCCCCAGGATGACGGGCCCAGATATGTGGGAAGGTTAGCAGTGCTGTACAAATGTCAGAGATGAAGGAGGGACAGTGGATCTCTGGGGCTCCGTCAGTTCTCCCAGGTGGTTCTCCATGTGTCCTCCCTGCCCTGTCCCATCCTTGCAGGAGCTGTCTAGGCGGAGACAAGAACAGAGGCAGTTCCTACGGGAGCATATGAAGGAGGGACAGTGGATCTCTGGGGCTCCGTCAGTTCTCCCAGGTGGTTCTCCATGTGTTCTCCCTGCCCTGTCCCATCCTTGCAGGAGCTGTCTAGGCGGAGACAAGAACAGAGGCAGTTCCTACGGGAGCACGCGGCCCCCTTCTCCGCCTTCCTCACAGACAGCTTTGGCCGCCAGCACAGCTACCTGCGGATTTCCCTCACCGAGAAGTGCAACCTCAGATGTGAGTCCCATTCCTGGGCCCTCTCTGGGATTCTGTCCCTCTGCTGAAGTAGCTTCTGAACTCTCCCCATGCCCAGGAATCCTCCTCAATCCTCCAATTCCGCTTTCTGACTTCCCCACCCACCACCCTTTGCTTGTCAGAGCAGGCAAGCTTTAGGGGTGAGAAAGGGGTCAGTGTCGAGTTTTATGGTTGTGGAAGCGAGGTTCTACTTGGGATTAGATTTGAGAACAAAGTTGTGATTGGGTTTAGGATTAAGAGTGGGTTCAGGGCTCCTTTCTCCTTTTGCTCTGCTGTTCCCAAAGTCCAGGACATGGTTGGGGGAGAGGGGCATGGTGGACATCATGAACATGTGAAATAAACAGTAGTGCAATGGCCAACACTGCCAGCCGTGGAGATGCCCCAGTCCCATGGCAAATCAGTTGGGGCCAGGCTGCTACTCAGAGTAATCATTTCATAATCCCACGTGAGGAGCACTCTGAGGGTGTATCCACTGCTGGAGGGACTTCCAAACTTTTGATCTTCCTTTCTCCCTTCCACCATCCCTTCCTTTTTTCCTTTCCCGCTTCATCTTTCCTTCCTTCCCTCCCTCCTTCTTTCCTTCCTTCCTTTTGTCCTTCCTTCCTTGCTTTTTTTCCTTCCACTATACCTTACAATAAAAAATATGTTTACTTCATGGCTCAATAAATACATACATGTGTGTTTAGTAAATGTTCGATCAAATAAAACATACCACATGCGGTACGTTGTGATATTCTTTCCCATTATCTTCAATCTTAAAAGACCACTTCTGAACCCAATCCTCGCCGCCGATTTGATTTCATGACCCTCTAACTGATCTTGACCTGATGCTTAATGACACCGCGCTACAGGAGGTGGTGGCATGGCTCAATAAATACATACATGTGTGTTTAGTAAATGTTCGATCAAATAAAACATACCACACGCGGTACGTTGTGATATTCTTTCCCATTATCTTCAATCTTAAAAGACCACTTCTGAACCCAATCCTCGCTGCCGATTTGATTTCATGACCCTCTAACTGATCTTGACCTGATGCTTAATGACACCGCGCTACAGGAGGTGGTGGTGGGCGATGGCACCCTTCACCCGCCACAACTCACCTCATTTACCCCATTCTGCCGCCTCTCCCCAAACAAGCAGCACCTCAGTGTTCCAATGTATAAAATGGGGCTGATGATAACCTACAATAGATAGGACGGATCTCAGAACACTTGTGTCTACAGAGTGCAGCAGCTTTTACCAGGCCAGAGAGGAGTACTCTTTCCCCTCATTGTGCACACACAGGGCAGGAGCAGTTTGCCACAAGTGGAAGAAGTGAAGGAGGATGAGCACTGCTGGCAGGGTCAGCCTGGGCCCTGGCCTTTCCAGGCAAGCCCTGCCCAGCTGCCCTGGCTGAGGGAAGCAGTGTCCAGGCATCCCCGTTCCTCAAGCCGAGCTCCGTTCTCAGCCGAGTTCATCATCCTTAACCTGTAACCTCGGCTTCCCACTTATCCCCGAGGGAGACTGAGGCTGGATGGGGAGGGGGTGTTAACATTTTAGAGATGAGAAAGTTGAGACTCTGGCCTGGGGATTGTCCACCTTGTCTTTGGTGGGGTCTCTCCTTATTGTCTGATGGGGTTCAGGAGGGACATTTGGCCTGATGGGGAGTGGGAGAGCAGGGGCATCCTGGGCCTGCCTGCCATAGCCATTTCCTACCTCCAGGTCCCTTCCTCCCCTCAGGCCAGTACTGCATGCCCGAGGATGGTGTCCCTCTGAC